GGATCTTGTGATCATATCCACCCCATTATGTATTTATACGTGGAGATCATATCCCCCCTTATGTATTATACATGGGAGATCATAATCCCCCCATTAATGTATATGATACATGGAGATTGCTCCATATCCCCCCTTATGTATTGTTTTAATATACATGGAGATGCATATCCCACCTTATGTATTATACATGGTGATCATATCCCCCCTTATGTATTATACATGGTGATCATATCCCCCCTTATGTATTATACATGGAGATCATATCCCCCTTATGTATTATATACATGGGCAGATTCATATCCCCCCTTATGTATTATACATGGAGATCATATCCCCCTTATGTATTAAAGCAGATGTGTGATCATATCCATGATATCTCATACATGCCAGATACCCCCTCTTGTATTATGCATGGAGTCTATTCCCCATATTTCACAGCTCTCATGACTGTGAAAGAAATACCTTTATCCCCCTACAGTATTAACATGGGAGATTACATTTCTTTTCCCTAATCCCTCAGACGTAAAGAGTGCCCCCTTGTCCTCTGTGATGACTTCAGGGGGAATTAGCTCATACACCGAGTTCATGGAGAGTCAAGTATGAACCACTGATGTTTGTATTTATACATGGAGATCATATCCCCCTTTTGTATTATACATGGAGATCATATCCCCCACCCTTATGTTATTATACATGGTGATCATATCCCCCCTTTATGTATTATACATGGAGATCATATCCCCCTTATGTATTATACATGGAGATCATATCCCCCCCCTTATGTATTTATACATAGAGATCATATCCCCCTTATGTATTATACATGAGATCATATCCCCCTTATGTATTATACATGGAGATGTATCCCCCTTATGTATTTATACATGGAGAATCATATCCCCCCCCTTATGTATTATACATGTGTGATCATATCCCCCTTATGTATTTTATGCATGGAGATCATATCTCCCCTTATGTATTATACATGGAGATCATATCTCCCCTTATGTATTATACATGGAGATCATATCCCCCCCCTAATTAATATGTATTATACATGGAGATCATATCCCCCCTTATGAAGATATTATACATGGAGATCATATCCCCCTTATGTATTAGATACATGGAGATCATATCCCCCCTTATGTATGTATATATCATGGAGATCATATCCACCCTTATGTATTATACATGGAGATCATATCCCCCTTATGTATTATACATGGTGATCATATCCCCCCTTATGTATTATACATGGAGATCATATCCCCCCTTATGTATTATACATGGAGATCATATCCCCCTTATGTATATATACATGGAGATCATATCCCCCTTATGTATTATACATGGAGATCATATCCCCCCTTATGTATTATACATGGAGATCATATCCCCCTTATGTATTATACATGGAGATCAAATTCCCTCCTTATGCATTATACATGGAGATCATATCCCCCCTTATGTATTATACATGGAGTTCATATCCCCCTTATGTATTATACATGGAGATCATATCCCCCTTATGTATTATACATGGATATCAATATCCCCCTTATGTATTATACATGGAGATCATATCCCCCCCTTATGTATTATACATGGAGATCATATCCCCCCTTATGTATTATACATGGAGATCATATCCCCCCTTATGTATTATACATGGTGATCAATATCCCCCCTTAATCTCCTCTTCTCAAGAGAGAATAAATTCAGTTCCTCTAATCTTTCCTCATAGCTGAATCTCCTCCATGCCTCTTATCAGTTTGGTTGCCCTTCTCTGTACTTTCTCCAGTTCCTCAATGTTCTTTTTTGTGAATTGGTGCCCAAAACTGAACTGCATATTCCAGATGAGGTCTTACTAATGATTTGTACCGGGGTAATATGATATCTCTCTCTGGAGTCTATACCTCTTTTAATAACAAGAGAGGATTTTGCTCGCTTTAGAAGCCCGCAAGGGTTGGCATTGCATGCCATTATTAAGCTTGTGATCTACCAGAACCCCCAGATCCTTCTCCCCCATTGATCCCCCCAGTTGTACCCCCCCCTAGTATGTATGATGCATGCATATTCTTAGCCCCCCAAGTGCAGAACCTTACATTTATCAACATTAAACCTCATTTGCCACATAGTTCCCACCAATTACACACAGAGCATTGAGTTGTCGGTTTGTAAGTTGGAGACATCCTGTAAGGACGTTATTCCACGGCACAGCTTGGTGTCATCTGCAAAGACTGAAATGGGATTTATAATCTCAGACCCTATATGGTTTATAAATATATTACAAAGTAAGGGTCCCAACACTGAACCCTGGGGTACACCACTGACACCCCTAGACCAATCAGAGTATTGAATCATTAACCACTACTCTCTGAATACCATCTTTTAAGCCAGTTTTCTGTCCATTTACATACAGAGACAGGGCTGGGAATAAAGGTAGGGAGCAGCTGGAGAAGGAAGGCACTGTAAGGGAGGCCAGGATAAGTGTCAATGGACCCAAACTCTCTAAAGACGGTCAACCCCATATCAGTGACACATTAAGCAATATTTAAAGTGGAGTTCCACTCAACCTATCAAAAAATAAAACTCTGCAGCTACAAAAACTGTAGCTGACTTTTAAAAAACAGCCACTTACCTGTCCCTCGGTCCCATGGTGTGTCCCCCGCAGCCCGTTTCACCAGCCGTCCTGTATTCCAGGAGGCCGGCATCTTCAGTGTGGGCACCCAGCTGTGACAGCTTGCGGCTTCACAGCCAGGTACCCACTGCGCATGCGCGCGAGTAGCGCTGCGCTTCATGAATGGTCCTGTAGTCTTCTGAGACCTGTCATGTGTCCCAAAAAAACTACAGGGAGGGAGGACACTTTCTGCTTCTGATCGCCCAGGCGATCGGATCGTTAGTGGGAGTGGGTACCTGTCAAATTCGGTTACCCGCTCCCCCAAAGGTGCCAATCCTTAATGGGGAGCAAGGGACCAGTCCTTAAAGCAGAACTTCCCCTTTTGGGTGGAGCTCTGCTTTAAAGATACTATGACACCCCCACCCACTGCAAATAAAACTATACAGATATTGTAGAAATGATAAATATGGGAACGTAGTTCAAGCAAAGCATGAAAGAGGTCCCTGTGCATGCACACCGTGGCCCCATTAATTCCTACGGGGAGAACTGTACTTAGCAGGACCAATGGAGGCCCTATGAGTATGGCTCTTCAGGACCAATGGAGGCCCTATGAGTATGGCTCTTCAGGACCAATGGAGGCCCTATGAGTATGGCTCTTCAGGACCAATGGAGGCCCTTTGAGTATGGCTCTTCAGGATCAATGGAGGCCCCTATGAGTATGGCTCTTTAGGACCAATGGAGGCCCTATGAGTATGGCTCTTCAGGACCAATGGAGGTCCTATGAGTATGGCTCTTCAGGACCAATGGAGGCCCTATGAGTATGGCTCTTCAGGACCAATGGAGGCCCTATGAGTATGGCTCTTCATAGGAATGGAGGGGGGTTGCTGTGCACATACGCAGCATGGTTGCTGGAACAAGGTTGGAGGTCAGTACTGGACAAGGTGGGATGAATTTGAGAAGAGGAGTGGGCATTCCTTACAGGACAACTTGATTTAAAGGTAGAGCTGGTGCTTTCCCTCCCAACATCAACTACTCACATAGCTTACACAGAAATGGTGAGGGAGATGAGGCCGGAAAGATGAGTAGGTGATCCTAAGGAGAACAGGTCCACTTTCACCTTGTATCATATGTAATCTCCAGCGCCTCAGGAAATGCACAGTCAAAGGGAAGCCAAGGGAACCAGGACAGCGACAACCAAAGGAAATGCTTCACTTTCACCTTGGCTTGGAGAACTGCCATGTACAGTATAAGCCTAGGATCCAAGGGGGTCCACAGGGACACAGGGCTGAATCTAAAGACGGCCACACATGTATATACGATTATTCAATCGATCATTCAATGAGACTAAAATATATTTAGGTCGAATGAGAATCGTAAAACCACAGACCCTCCAATTCGAATGATTTAGTGACCTTTTAAAAGGTTTCAATGCTGACAAATCAATCAGCTGTAGTAGAATTTTATGAATCATTTCTGCTCAATCTAATAAAGATCTGTATGTGTGTCACGACCCCCAAATGTAAGAAAGATCGCTTAAATTATCTTTTTTTTATTTAACCACCTCCTGTCTGGCCGTTGTATATAAAACAGCCAGATGGCGGCAGTGCAGGGGCAGGTGGGCATTTATAAATGGCCTCCCCACCTTGTGCTTGTGCGCGCTCCTTGGGAGCGCACAGCACCGCGATCCGGTGCCCGCTGTGTCCTCTGGACACAGTGGAACACCGTTAGTCGTACGGGACCTCTGTGCGAGGTCCCGATCATGTGATCACTGATTGGCCAATCAGTGATCACATGCAGAGTAGTAAGCAAGATGTCACTTCTGACATCATTGCTTACTACGTGTGAAATCTGTGAATGATCACAGAGGTCACATGGTACAAGGCTACTCACAACAGCCTTGTACCATGTGACAAGCTGTGACCAATCACAGCTCACACAGTTTTTCTCAATGGCTGCAAGAAAGCAGCCAGAGAGAGAAGGAGAGATGATTGCTTTTACAGCCTTTATGGGTGTAAAAGCAACCATGTAAAGAAAAAAAAAATATTCATCACCCCCCACAAGTAGTACAGAGTGTGTAGTACTGGCAACTCAGCACAGGGATGGTGGCACTGTACTGCTAGGGTGACAGTATGTAGTTAAAAAAAAAAAAAAAAAAAAAAAAAATAATTGAAAAAAAAATAAAAATGTAATGATACCTAGATCAATCAATATATGTACGACCACCTTCATACAGATACTTGCAGGTATCACAAGGTCCTTGCGCTCAGCACTGCTGTTATGTGAAAAGTATTTTAGGCCCGCTCTGACTCACTTTAGACATCAGGAGTGACAACTCTTTTTTTTCTTTGGGTCACCCATACAGGATGCAAACACTTACTGCACAATATCATTTATGGGGATAGTCAATATTCTCTCGTCTAATGTCTCCACTTCCACAGTACAGCCGGTCAGAGCCTGGAACACAGCAGGAGAGATGACTGTTAACATGGTAATACAATGCCCCCTGCTGGTCAGAGTGCAAAACACAGCAGGAGAGATGACTGTTAACATGGTAATACAATGCCCCCTGCTGGTCAGAATCGAAAACACAGCATGAGAGATGACTGTTAACATGGTAATACAATGCCCCCTGCTGGTCAGAATCGAAAACACAGCATGAGAGATGACTGTTAACATGGTAATACAATGCCCCCTGCTGGTCAGAATCGAAAACACAGCATGAGAGATGACTGTTAACATGGTAATACAATGCCCCCTGCTGGTCAGAGTGCAAAACACAGCAGGAGAGATGACTGTTAACATGGTAATACAATGCCCCCTGCTGGTCAGAATCGAAAACACAGCATGAGAGATGACTGTTAACATGGTAATACAATGCCCCCTGCTGGTCAGAATCGAAAACACAGCATGAGAGATGACTGTTAACATGATAATACAATGCCCCCTGCTGGTCAAAGTATAAAGGTGCAGTGCTGAATCATCAAGATTAAGCAGATGGTTATCAGATAAAAGTTTCTATTGGCTAAAAAGTGATCCCAGCCCAGCCGGCAGCTCCAGTGAATTATATTAGTGAATATAATAGCTTGTTGGACAATGCCGACTTGTAGTCAGCTCCTCAGTTTGATTGTGAATAGATGGCATGGCGTTGCATCTTTTCTCCTTTTAGATCTCTGTCCTGAGTTCCTGAGTCTGCACACCTGTTGCACCCAATATCAGAGGCTCCCATCATCTTTGTAGTGAGTTCCTGACTCTGCACATCTGTTGCACCCAATATCAGAGGCTCCCATCATCGTTGTAGTGAGTTCCTGACTCTGCACACCTGTTGCACCCAATATCAGATGCTCCCATCATCATTGTAGTGAGTTCCTGACTCTGCACACCTGTTGCACCCAATATCAGAGGCTCCCATCATCATCGTTGTAGTGAGCTCCTGACTCTGCACACCTGTTGCACCCAATATCAGATGCTCCCATCATCATTGTAGTGAGTTCCTGACTCTGCACACCTGTTGCACCCAATATCAGAGGCTCCCATCATCCTTGTAGTGAGTTCCTGACTCTGCACACCTGTTGCACCCAATATCAGAGGCTCCCACCATCATCGTTGTAGTGAGTTCCTGACTCTGCACACCTGTTGCACCCAATATCAGAGGCTCCCATCATGCTTGTAGTGAGTTCCTGACTCTGCACACCTGTTGCACCCAATATCAGAGGCTCCCATCATCCTTGTAGTGAGCTCCTGACTCTGCACACCTGTTGCACCCAATATCAGAGGCTCCCACCATCATCGTTGTAGTGAGTTCCTGACTCTGCACACCTGTTGCACCCAATATCAGAGGCTCCCATCATCCTTGTAGTGAGTTCCTGACTCTGCACACCTGTTGCACCCAATATCAGAGGCTCCCATCATCATCGTTGTAGTGAGTTCCTGACTCTGCACATCTGTTGCACCCAATATCAGAGGCTCCCATCATCATTGTAGTGAGTTCCTGACTCTGCACACCTGTTGCACCCAATATTAGAGGCTCCCATCATCACTGCAGTGAGTTCCTGAGTCTGCACATCTGTTGCACCCAATATCAGAGGCTCCCATCATCGTTGTAGTGAGTTCCTGACTCTGCACATCTGTTGCACCCCAATATCAGAGGCTCCCATCATCATTGTAGTGAGTTCCTGAGTCTGCACATCTGTTGCACCCAATATCAGAGGCTCCCATCATCGTTGTAGTGAGTTCCTGACTCTGCACATCTGTTGCACCCAATATCAGAGGCTCCCATCATCGTTGTAGTGAGTTCCTGACTCTGCACACCTGTTGCACCCAATATCAGATGCTCCCATCATCATTGTAGTGAGTTCCTGACTCTGCACACCTGTTGCACCCAATATCAGAGGCTCCCATCATCATCGTTGTAGTGAGCTCCTGACTCTGCACACCTGTTGCACCCAATATCAGATGCTCCCATCATCATTGTAGTGAGTTCCTGACTCTGCACACCTGTTGCACCCAATATCAGAGGCTCCCATCATCCTTGTAGTGAGTTCCTGACTCTGCACACCTGTTGCACCCAATATCAGAGGCTCCCACCATCATCGTTGTAGTGAGTTCCTGACTCTGCACACCTGTTGCACCCAATATCAGAGGCTCCCATCATCATTGTAGTGAGTTCCTGACTCTGCACACCTGTTGCACCCAATATCAGAGGCTCCCATCATCACTGCAGTGAGTTCCTGAGTCTGCACATCTGTTGCACCCAATATCAGAGGCTCCCATCATCATTGTAGTGAGTTCCTGACTCTGCACACCTGTTGCACCCAATATCAGAGGCTCCCATCATCATTGTAGTGAGTTCCTGAGTCTGCACATCTGTTGCACCCAATATCAGAGGCTCCCATCATCGTTGTAGTGAGTTCCTGACTCTGCACATCTGTTGCACCCAATATCAGAGGCTCCCATCATCATTGTAGTGAGTTCCTGAGTCTGCACATCTGTTGCACCCAATATCAGAGGCTCCCATCATCGTTGTAGTGAGTTCCTGACTCTGCACATCTGTTGCACCCAATATCAGAGGCTCCCATCATCGTTGTAGTGAGTTCCTGACTCTGCACACCTGTTGCACCCAATATCAGAGGCTCCCACCATCATCGTTGTAGTGAGTTCCTGACTCTGCACACCTGTTGCACCCAATATCAGAGGCTCCCATCATCATTGTAGTGAGTTCCTGACTCTGCACACCTGTTGCACCCAATATCAGAGGCTCCCACCATCATCGTTGTAGTGAGTTCCTGACTCTGCACACCTGTTGCACCCAATATCAGAGGCTCCCATCATCATTGTAGTGAGTTCCTGACTCTGCACACCTGTTGCACCCAATATCAGAGGCTCCCATCATCACTGCAGTGAGTTCCTGAGTCTGCACATCTGTTGCACCCAATATCAGAGGCTCCCATCATCGTTGTAGTGAGTTCCTGACTCTGCACATCTGTTGCACCCAATATCAGAGGCTCCCATCATCATTGTAGTGAGTTCCTGAGTCTGCACACCCGCTGTGCCCGACACGAGGTGTTCCCATCATCCCTGCAATGAGCTACTGGGACTATACAACTTTTATACCCATTATGAGGGGCTCCCACCATCCCTCCAGTTCCCAGGTCTGCATACCAGTTCCCATTTTCCCTGTTCTTAGTTTCTGGGTCTCTACACCTGATGTGCCCATCATGAGCGGTTCCCACCATCCCTGTGCAGAGTTCCCGGTACTGCAAACATAGTGTGCTCATTATGAGGGATTCCTATCATCTCTGCACAGAGATCCCAGGTCTGTACTTCTGTTGTGCTCATTATGAGGGGTTCTCACCATCCCTGTGCTGAGTTTCCAGGTTTGTACACTTACTGTGCCCATTATGAAGGGATCCCACCATCCCTGTGCGGAGTTCCCAGGTCTGCACTCCTGTTGTGCTCATTATGAGGGGTTCCCACCATCCCTGTGCTGAGTTCCAAAGTCTGTACAGCTGCTGTGCCCATTATGAGGGGTTCCTACCATCCCTGTGCTGGGTTCCCAGGTCTGCACACCTTCTGTGCCTATCATGAAGGGTTCCCACCATCCCTGTATTGGATTCCCAGGTCCGTACACCTGCTGTGCCCATTATGAGGGCTTCCCACCATCCCTGTGCTGAGTTCCCAGGTCTGTACACCTGCTGTGCTCATTATGAGGGGTTCCCACCATCCCTGTGCTGAGTTCCCAGGTCTGTACACCTGCTACGCTCATTATGAGGGGTTCTCACCATCCCTGCGCTGAGTTACCGGGTCTGTACACCTGCTGTGCCCATTATGAGGGGTTCCCACCATCCCTGTGCTGAGTTCCCAGGTCTGTACACCTGCTGTGTCCATTATGAGGGGTTCCCACCATCCCTGCATGCACGGAGTTTCCCAGGTCTACACACCTGCTGTGTCCATTATGAGGGGTTCCCACCATCCCTTTCCTCAGTGTCAGGGGGTCAAGGGTGACCTAAAGTCTGAAATATACTGTCGGCCAACAGCCTGACCTCACACACTGCCCAGAAGGCAATAGACAGTGTGTGAGGTTGGACAGGTTTCTGGCCAGGTACTGTCAAACATCATGTGAACTCTGACCCTCTGATTGGCCAAGCAGCAGTGAATCCCACTTTCCTTCACAAAATTGTAGTGGGAGGTTTTCCTGAAGAGGGAGGGGCATTCCCGTGAGGGAGGGGCATTCCCGAGGGAGGGGCATTCCCGTGAGGGATGGGCATTCCCGTAAGAGATGTATTTGTTACATAATATGAATGAAAAATGTGAAAAGATGATTTCCTTCCATGTCTCTCCTGAATGAGCTCATTGTCCTGCCCAGCAATGACCCTTCTTCTTCTCATTTTTATCATGTTCTGCATTTTTTTCTGCCGTTTTGCTGCATTTTTCCCACTTTTTTCCCTCAATGACCCATTTCTGCTGATGCAGTTCCCTGATCTGAACTCTCACATGTTGCACTCCCTGGGAGCTATTATTGTATTTACTGGCCGTGGTCAATTCTGCGTCTCTAGATTTGGAGTGCTGAGGTCCCGGGCTCAGATCCCACCAGGGCTCACTAGGCATTGAGTTTGTATGCTGTGCAGATTTTCCCCAGCAGTCAAAAATGATTACTGCCATTCCTGCCTATTCTGTATGTACTGAAAAGTGACTCTGCTTTACTGTTCCCCTCCCAGTTCTATCAGTCAGATCACATGACTGCAATCAAAGAGCCTTCTTTGTAGCCAACTGATCATATCTCAGCATGTGCCGTCACCACCCTGCTGCTGAAGGAAGAGGATCAGCCGTGACGTCATGGTGCCGTCACCTCCCTGCTGCTTAAAGAGGAGGAGCAGTCATGACGTCATGGTGCCATCACCTCCCTGCTGCTGAAGGAAGAGGATCAGCCGTGAGATCATGGTGCCGTCACCTCCCTGCTGCTGAAGGAAGAGGATCAGCCGTGACGTCATGGTGCCGTCACCTCCCTGCTGCTGAAAGAGGAGGAGCAGCCGTGACGTCATGGTGCCGTCACCTCCCTGTTGCTGAAGGAGGAGGAGCAGCCGTGACGCCATGGTGCCGTCACCTCCCTGCTGCTGAAGGAAGAGGATCAGCCGTGACGTCATGGTGCCGTCACCTCCCTGCTGCTGAAGGAGGAGTAGCCGTGACGCCATGGTGCAGTTACCTCCCTGCTGCTGAAGGAGGAGGAGCAGCCGTGACGCCATGGTGCCGTCACCTCCCTGCTGCTGAAGGAGGAGGAGCAGCCGTGACGCCATGATGCAGTCAACTCCCTGCTGCTGAAGGAGGAGGAGTAGCTGTGACGCCATGGTGCCGTCACCTCCCTGCTGCTGAGGGAAGAGGATCAGCCGTGACGTCATGGTGCCGTCACCTCCCTGCTGCTGAGGGAAGAGGATCAGCCGTGACGTCATGGTGCCTCACCTCCCTGCTGCTGAGGGAAGAGGATCAGCCGTGACGTCATGGTGCCGTCAGCTCCCTGCTGCTGAAGGAGGATGAGAAACCGTTACGCCATGGTGCCGTTACCTCCCTGCTGCTGAAGGAGAAGGAGCAGCCGTGATGCCATGGTGGTGTTACCTCCCTGCCTCCCCCTCCCCCTAATAAATGGACAAATGAAGGAGCAGCAATAAACTTATCAGTCCTAACTCTGCTCTCTCCTCCTGTCAGCAAGTTCTCTGAAAGCACCTGTGCAAGCAGAACACTTGATTGGCTCCTAGTGCTGCCCCTTCCTTGTCCACAGTGAGTGCTGCTGCACAGCTGGCAACAGAAGTCCAATATGACAGCAGATTCAGGTATAATTAAAGCCTGTGGTTAGCCAAACATTAAAGAGAAAAATCAGCACAACAGACAGTACCTACATTCAATGTGAAGTGTCCCTTGTGCTGCTGGCTGGTCTCTTAGTTGAAATTCAGTGTCCTCTGCATCTTCCTCCCACAAACTCCACGTCCCCCACCCCACAGCTGTAATCTTCCAATGCTACAGGGGTTAATACAAGTGCTGGGCCTGTCACAGTCATCAAGAGTGCTGACTATGCCCGCCACTGCAGCCCCCCTCCTCCATTCATAAGAGATATACTATAGCTTCCATCCATATAAAGCCCTCTTAGTACAGCTTCCTCTGCACCCCCCATATGCCTGCAGTCTTAATCCTCCAGTGCTGAGAGTATTCATAGAATCAGAAGGACCTGTCACAGACACTCATCAAGAGTGTTGACTATTACCGCCTTTGCAGCCCCCTCCTCCATTCATAAAAGCTTTATTTTTATTTTTTTCAGGTACTTATAAAGCGCCGTCAATTTACTCAGCGCTTTACATATATATTGTACATTCACATCAGTCCCTAACCCTCAAGGGGTGTACAATCTAAGGTCCCTAACTTACATTCATACATACACATACTAGGGACAATTTAGGCAGGAGCCAATTAACCTCCCAGCATGTCTTTGGACTGTGGGAGGAAACCGGAATACTCGGAGAAAACCCACGCAGGCACAGGGAGAACATGCAAACTCCAGGCAGGTGGTGCCGTGGTTGGGATTCGACCCTAGTACTGCCAGGCAGGAGTGCTAACCACTTAGCCACTGTGCTGCCCAGCTGTACTATAGTTTCCATCCATATAAAGCCCTCTTAGTACAGCTTCTATGAATGGAGGAGGGGGGCAGAAAAGCCAGGCATAGACAACTCCAAGGTATATGCAAGTCAGTCTGTGACAGGTCCTGAGATGAATACTCTCAGAACTGGAAGATTATGGCTGGAGGGCAAAGGGGGGGTGCGGAGGAGTTCAGATTTGAACTTACATAGCAGCCACCAGCACAAGGCACACTTGGCATTGAATATAAGTACTGTCCCCTGTGGTGATTTTTTAGCTTAGGTTTTAACCTCCCTAGCGGTCTGATTATATCCATATTTCTGTGCTCAAAGCGGTACATTTTTTTATATGTAAATATGTTTTTTTTTTATTGTCGGCCTGTAAATTTTAGGAATAACTCACTGAAATCTGTCTGAACAAGAGTCTAGTAAACATCCCGGGTAGGATAAAACACGAAATCATAAATTATAATTTAATAAATAATCATAAAAAATAATAATATAATAAATTGAATTCAATAATATAATCAAACCAAAAACACTGAAATTTGAAATAGAGCGCCAAGTTCGCACATCACTGAGCAAAGTCGCAGAATCGTTTTCAGTGTCTGATGAGGAATTTCCCCCACGAATCATTATCACTCAATTCTGCAAGTGGTTCTGATTTACTATCGCTGTTCTCTAGCCGGTCTAAAACCAATTTTGACCTAAAGGGACGCTTTTTGGAGGCCATGGACATTTCTCAGTTTCCAGGCAGAAAGAACAGTAAAAATGCAGGCAGGGCGCAGGACAAAGCACTCGGGACAAAATGTATGTGAAATGGTTTGAAACAGCAATGGAGTACTATGTGATTTTAGTGAATGTCACTTTTTGTCATTTTCAAATTTTCCTCCAATTCCGTCCCCGTACGTCCCGACGTCGCAGGGAACGGAACCCGGAAGACAGATGCCGGCATCGGCCGGAGGACATTGCCGGGAACACTGCAGGGGGGACATCGCAGGAGCGCAGGACAAGGTAAGCGAAGAAGAGATCCCGGAGCAACCCTGCAGAGTATTCCCGAGTGTAGCTCGGGGTTACCACTTGTGGTGCTGAAACTTTACCCCGAGCTACACTCGGGAATACCGCCAGGGAGGCTACACATATTTTTAATTTTGAGAATAACTTCAGCTTCCCAAACTTCTTCGCAGGGACCTTCTTTTCCAGTCCAGCACTGCCAGGCCCTGATGAAAGCCTCAGAGCTCCAGAAATGTGTTGATTTTTAAAAAAAAATAAACCAGATTATCTGGATTGTTGATGATATCTTAGCCTCTCATCTATAAAATTGATATTTGGTCAGTAAGTGATGCAATCTTTACCTTCACAAGATCGATGTTCGCTGTGTAGATCAAATCATCCCCTTGTCTGTCAAAGCGCGGGTGAGGCTTCTCCTTCACTATGAAGATGATGTCTGCTGGGATAATGTTCGGACCCTAAAACAGCAAACGAATGTAATAGAATGAGCGGCAGACCTAACCACAGCTTAGTGTACAGAGTCATTAACCACTGGAGGATTTTGAACATTCTAAAAACACTTTAACCACTTGCTGGGGGTGCATTTTGGGAGGATGTCATAGGACGTCTTCCCAGAACTGGTCCACCACGCTGTAGTCGTCTTTCGGCTATAGCGCGGTAGTAAAGTGGTTAACAAAGATCTTAGGATGCACCTCTGACATCCAGCTCATCTTCCCATGCTGTCACTCCCCCCCCCCCCCTTACTATTACTGGCTGTCAAAGTGACATCTGTTTTGCATCAGGCCACACTCCCACCATATGTGCAGAAAAAATGATAGAAAGAAAACGCACACAAATCAGCGAGTTTCTTGCACAGAAACAAAATCTGCATGCGATACCAGTGTTGTGGTGTGAACAGGGCACATAGAGAACAATTGACTTCTTTGTGCCCTTGCAGATTGCATGCAGAAAAATGTCTCTGCACACTGGTCTGAAAAAGGCCTTGTACAGTCAAAATACAGAGGCTCCTCAGCAAAATCAGTTTGCAGATCGTCTACAAGTGTCCTGAATCAATGTATTATTTGATTGTATTTATTTTTTCCATTCATATGGAGATCAAAGGGTTGGATCTGTGATCTGCATAAACCTTACCTAGTTTACAATTTATATATATACACACATATATACACTGTATACAGTCGTGTTCAAAATAATAGCAGTGTGTTGAAAAAAGTGAATAAAGCTGAAAATCCTTCTAATAGCTTTTATTTCCATTAGGGTGGATTCGATTTAAATCACTAGTCAGTAAGGCTTGATTTAAATCCTAGTTTTCTACATAAAGACTAATTCTTTCTGGTATAACTTTAATATACAAGTAGATGAAGATTTTTAGAATAACAACTTTTCAGATTAGTTTTTTTATCCCCAGTTTAATAGGTTAATCATTCATATTTGGACAACTTTTCTGTTGTACTTAGGAAGGAGAAAAATAATCATTACCTTAATAATAACAATTTAAATAGATTTATTCAACTGAAACAATAACATTCCAGCATATATTATTTGCTTAAACATCCATGTTTGTAACTAATTTGCCTAAACAAAATATATATATTTTAGGAAACTTAGACTGTCAGCCCCTTCCTCCTCACACTTATGCAGGCCATAGATGGGTCGAAAATCGGCTGATTTTTCGGCCGAAAATAAAATCAGCCGATTTTCGGATCGTTAGTGGGCTATTTGTTCGGCCGTTTTTCGGTATTTTGGTAGATTTTTTTTATCGTTAAAGTTGGAAAAAAATCGGCCGATTTTGCCGATTTTCGCGGCAATGATGGGCAAATCGGCCTATTTTTTTACCAATAAAAAATCTGCGCATGAGCAGTGACCTGCAAGAGGAAGACAAAAAGAAGAAAAAGAAGAAGAGGAAAAGGAAGAAGAGGATGATGATGATGAAGAAGAAGAGGAGGAGGATGATGAAGAAGAGGATGATGATGATGATGAAGAAGAGGATGATGATGAAGAAGAGGATGATGATGATGATGAAGAAGAAGAAGAGGATGATGATGATGAAGAAGAAGAGGCTGATGATGAAGAAGAGGAGGCTGATGACGAAGAAGAAGAAGAGGATGATGACGAAGAAGAAGAAGAGGATGATGACGAAGAAGAAGAAGAGGATGATGATGATGAAGAAGGATGAAAAATAAGAGGAATTCCAGTCCGGCAAAAAGTTTCCCTGCAGAGAGCTCCGCTATTTCTTTGACAGTTCCTTGACATTTACAGCGGTTGCAACAATGTATCTATTTGTTTCCGAATAAAAACATCTGTATCCTAAATGGATACAAATAGATACATTGTTGCAACCGCTATAAATGTCAAGGAACTGTCAAAGAAATAGCGGAGCTCTCTGCAGGGACACTTTTTGCCGGCTGTAAACGGGATGAAAATTGGCCGATTTTTTTTACCATTGCTGGTAACGTCGGCTGCTTGAACTACCGATTTTTTCGTTTTTTAAGAGAAAAATCGGCCGTTTTTCTCCCCGTCTATGGCCTGCATTAGTTTCACTTTCTTCTTGTGCAGATCTATTCCACTCCAAACAATCAGAAAAATATTGTTTCTATTCTATTCACTGAACTTCTTGAAACTTAGCACTGAAGGGGTTGATTCTGTATTCATAGGTTTGTAGAAGTTAGGATGAAGGTCTTTTTCTTAACTCTGTTCATGTTATAACATTTTTGCTGTGAAGAAGAGGCATGTGATTTCCGCTGAGACAAATTCAGTTTTGAGAACCGCAAAAGTAAACCGAACATCTGTGATAATATCTTGTAGGCAGAGAAACTGCCCAATAATCTTACAAAAACCCCTGGAAGAGCGTGACATTGTGAATGGATTCATGGAATTTATTTACCAAAAAAATTAAACATATACAGCCTTATTCTACATAATTAAAAAACTAATCTTTATGTCATGATGGAATAACCTTTGGATGGTAATATATTTTCCTCAAAAAGCATTTTATTTAAAAAAATCCAATTTAAATCCAAAAAATCTGATTTAAATCCAAAAAATCTGATTTAAATAAAACAAATCCGATTTTTAAAAATTTTTTTTTAAAAAAAAGCATTGATTTTTATCCACCCTGATTTCAATCCACACAAATGCATTGGGAACACTACACATTCTATTCTAAATCAAAGCATGAAGAAAAATACATCAAATTTGTGTTGTTCCTCTAAAAAAAATGGAAGAAAAGTGAATATTAGACGGTTCAAAAAAAAAAAAAAAAAAAAAAAAAAAAAAAAAAAAAAAAAATCGCAGTGTTTGTATTCTTCTTTACAAACTCAAACATTCACTATATAAACTGACAAATGTTTGAAGATTTTGCTTTCCTTTGAATGACTTCATGAATATTTGGTTGTAGTCGCACTGTTTCTGAGAACTGCTGTACATCTGTGTTGCATGGAGTCACCCAACTTCTGGCCCCTGTGATCAGGTATTCCAGCCCAGGATGATTGGACTACATTCCACAGTTCTTCTCTATTTCTTGGTTTTGCCTCAGAAACAGCATTTTTGATGTCACCCCACAAGTTTTCTATTGGATTAAGATCCGGGGATTGGGCTGGCCACTCCATAACGTCCATCTTGTTGGTCTGGAACCAAGATGTTGCACGTTTACTGGTGTGTTTGGGGTCGTTGTCTTGTTGGAACACCCATTTCAAGGGCATTTCCTCTTCAGCATAAGGCAGCATGACCTCTTCAAGTATTCTGATGTATTCAAACTGATCCATGATCCCTGGTATGCGATAAATAGGCCCAACGCCGTAGTATGAGAAACATCCCCATATCATGATGCTTGCACCACCATGCTTCACTGTCTTCACAGTGTATTGTGGCCTGAATTCAGTGTTTGGGGGTCGTCTGACAAACTGTCTCCGCCCACTAGACCCAAAAAGAACAATCTTACTTTCATCAGTCCACAAAATGTTGCGCCATTTCTCTTTAGGCCAGTCAATGTGCTCTTTGGCAAATTGTAACCTCTTCAGCACATGTCTTTTTTCCAACAGTGGGACTTTGCGGGGGCTTCTTGCAGATAGCTTGGCTTCACATAGGTGTCTTCTAATTGTAACAGTCCTCACAGGGAACGTCACACCTTCTTTCATCTTCCTGGAGCTGATTGTTGGCTGAGTCCGCGCCATTTTGGCTATTCTCCTATCCATTTGAATGGTAGTTTTTCGCTTTCTTCCACGTCTTTCAGGTTTTGGTTGCCATTTTAAAGCATTTGCGATCATTTTAGCTGAGCAGCCTATCATTTTCTGCACTTCTTTATATGTTTTCCCCCTCTCCAATCAACTTTTTAATCAAGGTACGCTGTTCTTCTGAACAATGTCTGGAATGCCCCATTTTCCTCAGAATTTCAGAGAGAAATGCACTGTAACCAGCATGTACAACATTTGCTGCCTTCCTTCCTTAAATAAGGGCAATAATTGCCACCTGTTTTTCAAAGAATGAATGACCTCACTAATAGAACTCCACACTGCTATTATTTTGAACATGCCCCTTTCAATGAGTGATTCAATGACACAGAATCAGCAGCATGCATGTCATGACTGTTGGGTCTGTTGGATTTCTATTACTCTACTACACCTGCTAGTAAATTATTTGCCATGTAGAAATATCATTTCTACCAAAAACAGTGATTGATCCGGTTAGTGATGTCTGACGGCTATTATTTTGAACACAACTGTATATATACACACACATGCACACACACACTCTTTTTCAGATCTCCTAAACTCACAGTCCACTTTTCAGACAATTCTTCTTGTTATCACTCATGGTATAACATGGAGCATAGTTGCATACATCATCCCCCCACACCCAAACCACCCCTCTCCTCCCATAGCTGAACTGCAGGGTGCTTTATAATGCAGCATTTTGTGATTAAATGGAATTGGCCCCGTCATCCAGGCCTGGGATCACGCACAGTGACAGGGACAGAGGGACTCTGCACAGCACCATGGAGATCCCTCCTCCTTCTTCAGCATGTCACACTGTTCTGTAGTCCATCCATATTTTCTTCAGCCACATAACAGGAGGTTTGCATCTCCATATAGATCTGCAGCTGGGAGAAAACTTTGAAAGAGCCTGCAAGTTGCACCCCCATGACACACACATAGCAGGTGCAATGCTCTGCAGCTCCATTGTAAAAAGTCAGTAAATGCACATTGAATGAATGTTGCTGCACTTTTTTTTCAAAAGGTGGACTAAGCTTTTAATACCGTTTTATCAGAGTTTCCCTCTATTTAGAGAGTCTGGAAATATTTTCTGTATAATATATTGATTTGTGTTGCAAAAAAAGGGATTCAAGTTTTGATATCTTTAACCTCCCTAGCGGTCTGATTATGTCCATATTTCTGTGCTCAAAGCGGTACTTTTTTTGCATGGAAATATGTATTTTTTTTTATTGCAGGCCTGTAATTTTTAGGAATAACTCACTGAAATCTGTCCGAACAAGAGTCCAGTAAACATCCCAGGGATGATAAAATTTGAAACACGAAATCATAAATTATAATTTAATAAATAATCATAAAAAATAATAATAAATTTAATTCAATAATATAATCAAACCAAAAACACTGAAAATTGAAATAGAGCGCCAAGTTCGCACATCACAGAGCTCAGTCGCAGAATCGTTTTCAGTGTCTGATGATGAATTTCCCCCACGAATCATTATCACTCAATTCTGCAAGTGATTCTAATTTACTATCGCTGTTCTCTAGCCGTCTAAAACCAATTTTGACCTAAAGGGACGCTTTTTGGACGCCATGGACGTTTCTCAGTTTCCAGGCAGAAAGAACAGTAAAAATGCAGGCAGGGCGCCGGACAAAGCACTCGGGACTAATGTATGTGAAATGGTTTGATACAGGAATGTTTTACTATGTGATTTTAGTGAATGTCACTTTTTGTCATTTTCAAATTTCCCGCCAGTTCCGTCCCCCGTACGTCCCGACGTCGCAGGGAACGGAACCCAGAAGACAGATGCCGGCATCCACCAGATTACATTTCCGGGGACACTGCAGGAGGGACATCGCGGGAGCGAAGGACAAGGTAAGAGAAGAGATCCCGGAGCAGCACCGCATGGTATTCCCGAGTGTAGCTCAGGGTTACCGCTTGTGGTACTGAAACTTTACCCCGAGCTACACTCAGGAATACCGCCAGGGAGGTTAAGGGATATCTAAACCCAAAAACAAACATGTAACCTATTGAAGATTACCAGTCCTGAGATGTGCTGGCTGCATTCATTTTCCTTTTTCCCCCATTTATTTTCAACTAATGATCTACCAGTAACACACTTCCTGTCCTAGGATGGCAACACCCAATACTATATCTATGGAGGAGCAGCTTTGTCACTCTAGGACAGGACTACAGAGCAACTCCCCTGCTCCTATTTTTCATAACATGGGGAAGGTGTTATGTAGTCCCCAAAGCTGGCTGGGTATTTATTTATTTCAGGTGCTTATACAGCCCCATCAATTTACGCAGCGCATCACATATATATATTGTACATTCACATCAATCCCTAACCCTCAAGGGGTGTACAATCTAAGGTCCCTATCTCACATTCATACATACACATACTAGGGACAATTTAGACAGGAGCCAGTTAACCTACCAGCATGTCTTTGGAGTGTGGGAGGAAACCGAGGGGCGGAGGTGCCATGGCTGGGATTAGAACCAACGACCCTAGTACTGCCATTTAGCCACTGCGCTGCCCGGGGTACAATAATAACTAATAAAAGTCAGCAAAAGGCAAAGAATAGAGAAATGTATCACCTTACTGAATTTCTGGCAGGATCAACAAGTATTTTTTTTTCACTGATCAGACAGATATAAAGAGGTCTGGCATGAATCTACCAGTAACTGTTAATAGTAGAAAATTTTCCACTTTAAACCAAATCATTCAGCAGAGAAGAAGGATAATTCCATCCTCCTGAGGACACTAAGCGAAGCTGGACATGTGTGAGGTGGGAGTGGTTATAGCCTCAAAGGGGCTGGCCTTCAGTTTTCTATTGGCCAGCCACCCATTACTCCTGTAGGTGGCAGTATAACCCTAGGTGTCTTACTATCATGCTGTGTCCCCCAATGGACAATAAAGATAACGCTTTTAATGGAATATTTAATAGGCTATAAAAAGGTTGCAAAAATCTCCCTCCACGTATGTATGACTTTAGATAGTAATGGGGTCCATACGCAGATTTTATTTTATTGGACCTGTGGTTGTGTTTTATGTGGCTGGTTGAGATCAGGGGCGGACTGACAACTCATGGGGCCCCCGGGCAATAGGGGATCATGGGGCCCCTGTTTCCTTGCCCAAACTCAAAAAAGCCTATGAAAAAAGGTACCAGGGACATCTCATGAGGCCCCCTACTGACACCGGGCCCTTGAGCAGTGCCCGAATTTCCAAATGGCCAGTCCGCCCCTGGCTGAGATGCAATGTTGCTTAGCAGATGCATTTGGAGCAGTAAATAACAAGTGCAGTAAGTGGCCCTCACCTGGTCTCCCTCATTGGGGAAGGTGATCCGGGTTCCAGGCTTCCAGCCAGACTGGACATCAATGGAGAGAATTTTGTCCCGTATGCTGGATGTGTGACCATCTTCATTCATGACCTGCGGAGGACAGGAAGGAGTCATGTGATCTCAAACAGACAGCAAATGAGTAAAACAGCAAATGTCAGTCTGCACATATACAGTCATGGCCAAAAATATTGGCACCCCTGCATTTCTGTCACATAATGCACCAGTTCGCCTATAAAATGTTTGAAGTTACAAATGTTTCGGCATTCTCATGTTAATTTCTTTTGTTTGTATCAGTATTACACAAAAAAGTGGAGAAACAAAAATCCAAATCTGACACATTCCACGCAAAACCCCAAAAATGGACTGGACAAAATTATTGGCACCCTCAATGTAATATTTGGTAGCACACACCTTGGAAAAAAATAGCAAGTCTATCACTTCCTGTAACCATCTTTCTTACACCTCTCTATTGGAATTTTGAACCACATGATTGGAAGGGTTCCTCTTCCCAGTTGCTGTTTTTAGATCTCTCCACAGGAGCTCTATGGGATTGAGATCTGGACTTATTGCTGGCCAGTTCAGGACTCTCCAGCACTTTGTCTGAAACCATTTCTGGGTGCTTTTTGGCGTGTGCTTTGGGTCATTGTCTTGCTCCAAAAGGATTTTGGCTTCCTCAGGTAAGTTTTGGCAAACTCCAATCTGGCTTTTTTATGTTTCTGTGTCAGCAGTGGGGTCCTCCTGGGTCTCCTACCATAGTGTCCCTTTTCATTCAGATGGTGACGTATAGTGCGAGCCAACACAGTTGTACCCTGTGCCTGGAGGTCAGCTTGAATTTGTCTGGAAGTTGACTGAGGTTATTTATCCACCATTCCAGCAATCCTTCATTTCAATCTTTGATCAATTTTTCTCTTTTCTCTCTTTTTCCAGAGAGATTAGATACAGTGCCATGGGCTGTAAACTTCTTGACAATGTTGAGCACAGTGGACACAGGAACATTAAGATCTCTGGAGATGGACTTGTAATCTTGAGATTGTCCATGGTTTTCCACAATTTTTGTTCTCAAATCCTCAGACAATTCTTTGCTGCTCTTTATCTTCTCTATGCTCCATGTGGCACACAGAGACAGAAAGGATGAGTCAATTTTTACCATTTTAATGGTTGTCGGTGTGATTTCTATATTGTCAGCACCTGTTAAGTGATACAGGTGAGTGTAATTAAAAATGACAGGAGCATCACAAACTTGGAATGCAATTATTTCTTACAATTCCGAGAAGGTGCCAATAATTTTGTCCAGTCCATTTTTGAAGTTTTGGGTGGAATGTGTCAGATTTGGCTTTTTGTTTCTCCACTTTTTTGTGTCATAATAATACAAACAAAAGAAATAAACATGAGAATGCCAAAATATTTGTAATTGCAAGTACTCTCCAGTGCCTCAGGATATGCACAGCCAAAAGGGAAGCCAAGGGTACCAGGACAGCGACAACCAAAGGAAATGTTCCAGGGGTGCAGCCCTCCTCAGACGGGGGAAATCAGCCACTGGATTTTCTCTCTATTTGTAATTGCAACAATGTTCTGGGCAAAGTGGTGCACTATCTGAAATGCAGGGATGTCATTGGCCATATCTGCAGATACATACAGGCTGATCTTAGAGTTTCAGCCTACCTTTAAATGGATTCCTAGTTATAGGTGGAGTAGCTGAGTTAGCCCCTGGCTTCTATATAGCTAAGGTTCTCCACAATGTTATAATTAGCAGCTCTGCTCCTGTCCACCTGGGAGATTTGAGCGTTCCCAGCCACCTTTGTCTGTTCCAGCTCCTCCTGTTAATTATATTGTAATATGCAGTGGGAAAAATAATGATTTGATCCCCTGAAGATTTTGTAAGTTTGCCGTCTTACAAAGAAATGAAGGGTCTATGATTTTTGTCATAGGTGTATTTTAAATGATGGAGACAGAATATCAACGAAAAATACAGAAAAAATCCATGATACAAATACTATAAATGGAGTTGCAGTTTAGTGAGAAAAATAAGTATTTGATCCCCTACCAACCAACAATGATTCTGGCTCCCACAGGCTGGCTATGTGCTCATGTGGTACACAGGTTAGTCCTGTCAGTTTAAGAAGGCTCTGCTAACGACAACTCATTATGTGTATAAAAGACACCTGTCCACAGAATCTCTTTCTTGGGCACCACCATGGGCAAGACCAAAGATCTGTCAGAGGACGTCAGGGACAAGATTGTAGACCTGCACAAGGCTGGAATGGGCTACAAGACCATCAGCAAGAAGCTTGGTGAGAAGGAGACAATTGTTGGAGCAATTATTCACAAATAAAAGAAATACAAAATAACCAATCGCCCTCGGTCTGGAGCTCCATGCAAGATTTCACCTCATTGGGTAAGGATAATCATGAAAAATGGGAGGAGCTTGTGAATGATCTCAAGGCAGTTGGGAACAAAGTCACCAAACAAACCATTGGTAACACACTACGCCGCCATGGATTGAAATCCTGCAGTGCCCGCAAGGTCCCCCTTCTCAAGAAGGCACATGTAGAGGCCCATCTGAAGTTTGCCAATGAACATCTAACGATTAAGAGAAGGATTGGGAGAAAGTGTTGTGGAAAGATGAGACCACAATTGAACTCATTGGCATTAACTTGACTCGTTGTGTTTGAAGGAAGGAAAATGCTGACTATGACCCTAAGAACACATCCCTACAGTCAAGCATGAAGGTGGAAACATGTTCTGGGGCCGTTTCTCTGCTAAAGGTACAGGCTGACTTTGCTGCATTGAGGGGCCAATGGACGGGGCCATGTATTGTAAAATCTTGGATGAGAACCTTCTTCCCTGAAGATGGGTTGTGGATGGGTCTTCCAGCATGACAATGACCCAAAACATACCACCAAGGCAACAAAGGAGTGGCTCAAGAAGAAACACGCTAAGGTCATGGAGTGGTCCAGCCAGTCTCCAGACCTGAATCTTATAGAAAATTTATGGAGGGAGCTGAAACTTCGAGTTGTCAAGAGACAGCCAAGAAACCTTAAGGATTTAGAGAAGATCTGTAAAGAAGAGTGGACCAAAATCCCTCCTGAGATGTGTGCAAACCTGGGAACCAACTACAAGAAACGTCTTACCTCTGTGCTTGCCAACAAGGGTTTCTCCACTAAGTACTAAATCATGTTTTGCTTGGGGATCAAATACTTATTTTACTCACTGAACTGCAAATCAATTTATAACATTTGTATCATGGGGTTTTTCCTGGACTTTTGGTGGACATTGTCTCTATCATTTAAAATACACCTATGATAAAAATTATAGACCCTTCATTTTCTTGTAAGTGGGCAAACACAAAATCTGCAGGGGATCAAATAATTATTTTCCCCACTGTACATATGCTCTCATAATGGGGACAGCGGGTGTACAGACCTGGGAACCCAGCACAGGGATGGTGGGAATCCCTCAATAGGCACAGCAGAAGTACAGACCTGGGATCACTCAGCATAGGGATGGTGGGAACCCTTCATAATGGGCACAGCAGGTGTACAGACCAGGAACTCAGCGCAGGGATGATGGAAACCCTTCATAATAGGCACAGCAGGTGTACAGACCCAGGAACTCAGTGCAGGGATAGTGGGAACCTTTCATAATGGGCACAGTAGGTGTACAGACCTGGAAACTTGGCACAGGAATCTCACTAATAGAGAGTTTTAGAGAGTTGAAAGTGGCTACTGGGGGAAAAAGGGGTTAAGTCTCCAGCATCATCAAAGGGTGAATTATCTGTTTTTTATCAAATGATTGGTCTCCCTGTCTAAGGTGCCCTATCTGCAAGGGAGTCTCACTCCTGCATTCTCCTTAACCTCTGCTGGGTTGTCATCTTAGTCTGCACTCTGGATAGGAAGATTCCCCATGAAAGAGAAAGTGATGGGGTGGAAATTAACCCTGTGTGAGCCCAAACACCCCCGAATCCCTTTGTAGACCTCCTCCCTTACCCTGCGTGAAATTTTCATTTTCTTTGTGCAGCCGAAATACAAGTCCTCCAATGAAAGGTAGAGGTCTCCCTCGATGGGTGGGCCTTGTTTCTTCACCCCTCTTCCTCGTAGCCCTCCGAACCCTGTGTTCACCTCCGAGCCATCCAGCGTGAAAAAGTCTTAGAGGAGGATAAAAGGACAAGAAAATGATTGGACACCAGTGTGTGGACTGTCTGTGATACCACAACTAAGGAAGCCATTGGGCCCAATCTACTAAGGATTGTTATAAAGATACTTCACCACTCATGTTACATCTGACCTCCAGCCTTCCCCTTCAGTCTCGCTTACTCTGATTTCACTGCACACTGTGAGCATCTCACAATGTACAGTTGTGTTAAAAATAATAGCAGTCAGACATCACTAACCGGATCAATCACTGTTTTTGGTAGAAATTATATTTCTACATGGCAAATAATTTACTAGCAGGTGTAGTAGAGTAATAGAAATCCAACAGACCCAACAGTCATGACATGCATGCTGCTGATTCTGTGTCATTGAATCACTCATTGAAAGGGGCATGTTCAAAATAATAGCAGTGTGGAGTTCTATTAGTGAGGTCATTCATTCTTTGAAAAACAGGTGCCAATTATTGCCCTTATTTAAGGAAGGAAGGCAGCAAATGTTGTACATGCTGGTTACAGTGCATTTCTCTCTGAAATTCTGAGGAAAATGGGTCATTCCAGACATTGTTCAGAAGAACAGCGTACCTTAATTAAAAAGTTGATTGGAGAGGGGAAAACATATAAAGAAGTGTAGAAAATGATCGGCTGCTCAGCTAAAATGATCGCAAATGCTTTAAAATGGCAACCAAAACCTGAAAGACGTGGAAGAAAGCGAAAAACTACCATTGGAATGGATAGAAGAATAGCCAAAATGGCGCGGACTCAGCCAACAATCAGCTCCAGGAAGATGAAAGAAGGTGTAAAGTTCCCTGTGAGGACTGTTACAATTAGAAGACGCCTATGTGAAGCCAAGCTATCTGCAAGAAGCCCCCGCAAAGTCCCACTGTTGGAAAAAGACGTGCTGAAGAGGTTACAATTTGCCAAAGAGCACATTGACTGGCCTAAAGAGAAATGGTGCAACATTTTGTGGACTGATGAAAGTAAGATTGTTCTTTTTGGGTCTAGTGGCCGGAGACAGTTTGTCAGACGACCCCCAAACACTGAATTCAGGCCACAATACACTGTGAAGACAGTGAAGCATGGTGGTGCAAGCATCATGATATGGGGATATTTCTCATACTACGGTGTTGGGCCTATTTATCACATACCAGGGATCATGGATCAGTTTGAATACATCAGAATACTTGAAGAGGTCATGCTGCCTTATGCTGAAGAGGAAATGCCCTTGAAATGGGTGTTCCAACAAGACAACGACCCCAAACACACCAGTAAACGTGCAACATCTTGGTTCCAGACCAACAAGATTGGCGTTATGGAGTGGCCAGCCCAATCCCCGGATCTTAATCCAATAGAAAACTTGTGGGGTGACATCAAAAATGCCGTTTTCTGAGGCAAAACCAAGAAATAGAGAAGAACTGTGGAATGTCGTCCAATCATCCTGGGCTGGAATACCTGATCACAGGGGCCAGAAATTGGGTGACTCCATGCAACACAGATGTACAGCAGTTCTCAGAAACAATGCGACTACAACCAAATATTCATGAAGTCATTCAAAGGAAAGCAAAATCTTCAAACATTTTTCAGTTTATATAGTGAATGTTTGAGTTTGTAAAGAAGAATACAAACACTGCGATTTTTTTTGTACCGTCTAATATTCACTTTTCTTCAATTTTTTTAGAGGAACAACACAAATTTGATGTATTTTTCTTCATGTTTTGATTTGGAATAGAATGTGTCGTGTTCCCAATGCATTTGTGTGGATGGAAATAAAAGCTATTAGAAGGATTTTCAGCTTTATTCACTTTTTTCAACATACTGCTATTATTTTGAACACAACTGTACATAAGAAGCAGAGACAAGTCAGAAGAAGCCTGTCTTAAAGTGGAGTTTCACTCGACTTATCAAAAAATAAAAGTCAGCAGCTACAAAAACTGTAGCTGCTGACTTTTAGAAAACAGCCACTTACCTGTCCCTCGGTTCCATGGTGTGTCCCCCGCAGCCCCTTTCCCCGGCCGTCCTGTATCCCAGAAGGCCGGCATCTTCAGTTTGGGCACACGGCTGTGAGTAGTGCTGCACTTCATGAATGGTCCTGTAGACTTCTGGGACATGTCACGTGTTCCAAAAGACTACAGGGAGGGAGGAATGGAGGACACCTTCCGCTTCAGATCGCCTAGGCCAGGGGTAGGCAACCTGAGAACCGCAGGACTACAAGTTCCATCATGCCTCTGCATGTCATAGCTGTAACTGTCAGTTTTGTAATCTTTGCAATGCCACATGGGAAATGTAGTTCCACAACAGCTAGAGAGCCACAGGTTACCTACCCCTGGCATAGGTGATCGGACCGGAAGTGGGAGAGGGTACCTGCCAAATTCGGGTACCCGCTCCCCCGCCCCCAAAGGTGCCAATCCTTAATGGGGAGCAGTACTTAAAGTGGAACTTCCCCTTTTGGGTGGAGCTCCGCTTTAAGCCTCATTTCTCGGCTGTGGGACGTCCAGCATCATCTAGCCACCCCAGCCTGACTGTCCATGTCCTGCCTCTTTCATTTATTGGATTTCAGTTCTGTCAATCACGGAGGATCGTCTTCATTCAAATGCAGCATTCCTAAGAACAGTCACTCTTCCAGACTGATACCCACCCTTCAAGGTGTGGCAATTGTTGTAGAAATCTTCTCAAGAGCCAGCCTACTGCTTGCCTCAGGACTGAGGGCTCTTGAGAGGAGTCCTGAGACAGGGGGCTGTCATGTTTTACAAAATGCTATGTACAGCACCCTGATGGCCCCTCCCACCAGCCACGATCTGCCTGCATTGTACAGAGTAGCACAGAGCCCCAGTGATGACATCAGTAAGTCCAAAATAAGGTATGTCATGGAAATGGAAAGATTTATCCTCTTCATGCCGGCCGAACGCAAATGTGTGGCCTCCCGACGTCTGGGCCTAGAACGGCCGCACATTAGCGTTCTATTAAAAAAGGACATATGTGCCGAGAGCACGCGCCCTGCGCACTCCCAGCCAGGGGGGGACTGACAACTCATGGGGCCCCCGGGAATTAGGGGATCATGGGGCCCCTGTGTCCTTGCCCAAACTCAAAAAAGCCTATGAAAAAAAAAGGTACAAGGGGCATCTCATGGGGCCCCCTACTGACCCCGGGCCCTCGGGCAGCGCCCGAGTTTCCAAATGGTCAGTCTGCCCCTGGTCCCAGCACACATGTCCGGTACTCACAGAAAGGTCCCGATCTCCTCTTTCGATCGGGACCTTTCCTGATCGTGTGACCGCCGTGACGCGTCGTCACGGCGGTCACATGACCCTAAACCCCGCCCCTCCTCCCGACTTCTGAAACTCTTAAAGGGCCGGGAGGCGCCAGCGTGAAGGGGTTAATTTAACACATTTCTGTTCTTACCTTCAAACGGATTATCTCCTCCGAAAAATTCTTTGAAGGTCTTCTCCGGATTCCCATGATAACTGTAACTCAAGGTCCAGGCCTCTTCACCTCCAAATTCGGCTGGGATTCCGCCCTTCAGACCCTCCTCTCCAAATTTGTCATAGGTGGCCTTCTTCCTCACTGCAGGGAATAGATTAAAATGGTTATAGGATGGCCAACTTCCCGGCTCTGCTCCTGTCCACTTGTGGGAGCTCCATCTGTTGTATTCTCCACAATATAAACCAGGTATAACATCCAGAAGGGATGGTGGGAACCCTCATAATGATCACAGCAGGTGTACAGACCTGGGAACTCAGCACAGGGATGTGGGAACCCCTCATAATGGGCAGAGCAGATGTACAGACCCGTGCACAGTGATGGTGGACACCCCTCATAATGGGCGCAGCAGGTGTGCAGACCTGGTATTTTAGCACAGGGATGGTGGGAACCCCTTATAATGGGCCCAGCAGGTGTACAGACCCGGGACCTCAGCACAGGGATGGTAGGAACCCCTCATAACAGGTACAACGGTGTGTACAGACCCAGGAACTCAGCACAGGGATGGTAGGATCCCCTCATAATGGTACAGTAGATGTACAGACCTGGGATCTTTAGCACATGAATGGTGGGAACCCCTCATAATGGGCACAGAAGATGTGACAGACCCGGGAACTCAGCACAGGGATGGTGGGAACCCTTCAAAATGGGCACAGCAGGTGTACAGAACCAGGAACTCAGCACAGAGATGGTGGGAACCCCTCATAATGAGCACAGCAGGTATACAGACATGGGATCCTAGTACAGGGATGGTGGGAACCCCTCATGATGGGCACAGCAGATACAGACCTGGGATCTTAGTACAGGGATGATGGGAACCCCTCATGAATGAGCACAGCAGGTATACAGACCTGGGATCTTAGTACAGGGATGGTGGGAACCCCTCATATGGTGGGCACATCAGGTGTGAAGTCCCAGGAACTCAGCACAGGGATAATGGGAACCCCTCAGGATGAGCACAGCAGGTATACAGACCTGGGATCTTAGTACAGGGATGATGGGAACCCCTCATGATGAGCACAGCAGGTATACAGACCTGGGATCTTAGTACAGGGATGGTGGGAACCCCTCATGGTGGGCACATCAGGTGTGAAGTCCCAGGAACTCAGCACAGGGATAATGGGAACCACTCAGGATGAGCACAGCAGGTATACAGACCTGGGATCTTAGCACAGGGATGGTGGGAGCCCTTCATAATGAGCACAGCAGGTGTTTGGGGTTCAGACCCAGGAACTTAGCCCAGGGATGGTGGAAATCCCTCATGAAGAGGACAACAGGTGTGTGGACTCAGGGGCTCAGCACAGGGATGGCATGCTGCAATGCACGTCTGTTGATGGTGCATTGGGGCACCAAAACAGATAAGGTGCATTGCTGTGCATTACCACAATGTAATAGCCTAAATAGGCCATATGTGTATTGCTTTAAATGTAAACAGTGTAACTCCCTGGATTTGACTTTTGTCCCTGTACAGCAGAGCTCAGACTGAGACAGGTAGAAGTTGCATGAGGAACCAAGCAGTTGTGCTGCAGTGTACGGAGCATGATGATAGAAGGAGGGAGCAAAATCACAGAGAGCTAAGCACGTCAGTCTGCTTCTTCTCCTTTCACTATGCAGTCACAAGGTGGGAGTGGGGAGGGGACCTGTGAGTGAAAGTGAAACTGCAGCAGAGAAAAGGTCAGGTATCCTGCTCTGCCAGACAGGGCTGTGCTGTGTACATTTCAAGACTGGATTGATAGACATACCCTGTGCAGGTAAAACCTCTTTAATATACGTATGTCACCTGTGTGCCTGAAGTTCAGCTTTAGGCCCCATGTACACGGGACACTTCTGAACGATGGAAACTGACTGCTGGAAAACATAGGTTAAAAAGACGTCTGTTTAGCCGCGTTTGCATACCACGTTTATGTGCGTTTGCGTTTAGAAGCGTTTTTTAAAGATAAGCACAGGAGAACCTCCCAAATGCCCAGAATGCACTGAAAAGTGGTAAATTATGAACTATTTCAGACTGTTTCAGAGACATACAGAGAGTAGAAGCAGAGACAGCAGTATGTGTTGAGATTAGCTTAGGTGTGAGTTGCTCATTAACATTTCTTCTGTTTCCAAGGGTGGGAAAGGTGTCTGGTGGAGGGAGTCATTAAGGTCACCAGGCAGGGGGGTCTTCATGAGGAATTTGAGGTGTGAATGGTCATTAACATATCTTTTGTTTCCAAGGGTGGGAGAGGTCTGAGGTGTGAATGGTCATTAACATATCTTTTGTTTCCAAGGGTGGGAGAGGTCTGAGGTGTGAATTGGTCATTACAATGTGTGACAAGCTTGGTAGGAACATCCTGTGTTCAGTGTTTTGTCCATCTGAGTACCTTGAAAATGCTTTGCATGCATTTTTCATGATGAAAAAAGGCTCTGGACAGCATCGGGAACTGGAAGAGCTAAAAAAAAATTTCAGATGCAAACGCTTATAAACACGATTTGACGCGTATAGACGCATTTAGATACGTTTACAAGCGTTTGAAACGTTGATAATGTCTACTCCTCAACGCAAGTTTTCTACGCTCAAAAAAACGACTGTAAACTCAAATGCCTGTAAATGACTGTAAACGACGATGTGTACACAGACACATAGGAAACCATTAGGGAGAGTTCAGGGGCTGCTGGGAAAAAAAAACGCAGAAGAGCTCCTAAACGTGAGTTTATCAGCTGCAGTGTACATGGAGCCTTCTAGTGCTGAGAGATCATCCTCTGAAGTGTGCTGGGGGTATCTGCCTCCTGTGTCCGCTCAGTCCTCCCACTGACCTCCACAGAAAGCTGTGCTCTCTTGCAGGGTATGAGATTTGGTTGTTTCTACAGTCATGACAGGGTCACTTTAATGACATAGAAAGCTACTAGCATGACGGAGCTATGAGAATCGCCTGCACGTCGCACGCCAATACACCTACTGACTGTGGCAACTTACAGTCACTCAGAACGTCGTACGCCTCAGCAATCTGCTTGAACCGATGCGGGGCCGACGGCTCCTTGTTTTTTAGTGGGTGGTATTTCAGTGCCAACTTCCTGTACCTGGAAGACAATGGATACACATACAATGGAGTCACCGACTAATGCAGGCCATAGACGGGTCGTTTATAGGCTGAATTTTCGTCCACACGAAAAATCGGCCGATATTCACGCAGTTAATGATGCCAGCCCGTTGGCTGTTTTTCACGGATCTTCTCGTTTATTTTTATCGGTCATGCTGGAAAATCCACGAAAAACGGCCGTTTTTTGTGGACAATGGTGGCAGCATCAGCAACAGCACCGACCGATTTTTCGTTTATCGGTCGACAATTCAGCCGATAAACGTCCCGTCTATGGCCTGCCATAATTCAGAGCACTGTACACTGCACCAAAGAAGCTTACACTCTAATGCCCCCCCACCCCCTCAGTCACACATTATTATACATCGATATAGCTCTGATTTACACTCACCGGAAACTTTATTAAGTCCACCTGTCCAATTGCATGGCAACACAAATAGTGAATACAGGGTCTGGGGAGACCAGATATAGTGAATGCGGGGTCCTGGGAGATCAGATATAGTGAATGCGGGGTCCAGGGAGATCAGATATAGTGAATGCGGGGTCCTGGGAGACCAGATATAGTGAATGCGGGGTCCTGGGAGACCAGATATAGTGAATGCGGGGTCCTGGGAGATCAGATATAGTGAATGCGGGGTCCTGGGAGACCAGATATAGTGAATGCGGGGTCCTGGGAGACCAGATATAGTGAATGCGGGGTCCTGGGAGACCAGATATAGTGAATGCGGGTCCTGGGAGATCAGATATAGTGAATGCGGGGTCCTGGGAGACCAGATATAGTGAATGCGGGGTCCTGGGAGACCAGATATAGTGAATGCGGGGTCCTGGGAGAGCAGATATAGTGAATGCGGGGTCCTGGGAGAGCAGATATAGTGAATGCGGGGTCCTGGGAGACCAGATATAGTGAATGCGGGGTCCTGGGAGACCAGATATAGTGAATGCGGGGTCCTGGGAGACCAGATATAGTGAATGCGGGGTCCTGGGAGACCAGATATAGTGAATGCGGGGTCCTGGGAGACCAGATATAGTAAATGCGGGGTCCTGGGAGACCAGATATAGTGAATGCGGGGTCCTGGGAGACCAGATATAGTGAATGCGGGGTCCTGGGAGACCAGATATAGTGAATGCGGGGTCCTGGGAGACCAGATATAGTGAATGCGGGGTCCTGGGAGACCAGATATAGTGAATGCGGGGTCCTGGGAGATCAGATATAGTGAATGCGGGGTCGGAGACCAGATATAGTGAATGCGGGGTCCTGGGAGATCAGATATAGTGAATGCAGGGTCCTGGGAGACCAGATATAGTGAATGCAGGGTCCGGGAGATCAGATATAGTGAATGCGGGGTCCGAGGAGACCGGATATAGTGAATGCGGGGTCCTAGGAGACCAGATATAGTGAATGCAGGGTCCTGGGAGACCAGATATAGTGAATACAGGGTCCGGGGAGATCAGATATAGTGAATGCGGGGTCCTGGGAGACCAGATATAGTAAATGCAGGGTCCTGGGAGACCAGATATAGTGAATGCAGGGTCCTGGGAGACCAGATATAGTGAATGCGGGGTCCTGGGAGACCAGATATAGTGAATGCAGGGTCCTGGGAGATCAGATATAGTGAATGCGGGGTCCTGGAAGACCAGATATAGTGAATGCAGGGTCCTGGAAGACCAGATATAGTGAATGCGGGGTCCTGGGAGACCAGATATAGTGAATGCAGGGTCCTGGGAGATCCAGATATAGTGAATGCAGGGTCCGGGGAGATCAGATATAGTGAATGCGGGGTCCTGGGATACCAGATATATTGAATGCGGGGTCCTGGGAGACCAGATATAGTGAATGCAGGGTCCTAGGAGATCAGATATACTGAATGCAGGGTCCTGGAAAACCAGATAAAGTGAATGCAGGGTCCTGGAAGACCAGATATAGTGAATGCGGGGTCCGGGGAGACCAGATATAGTGAATGCAGGGTCCGGGGAGACCAGATATAGTGAATGCAGGGTCCTGGGAGAAACACCCCCTCCCTAAAACAAAACAAAGACAAAAAAAAAGCGGGCAGACTCGGTGGACCACTCTGTTTTTTTACAGTCACTTTTCTGTTTCTATGTGTACCTAATAAAGTGGCTGATCAGTGTGTACCGCAGCACTGTACAGAGAACACAGAGTCATTCAGAACACCAGAGGAGCTTGCACTCTAATTTCATCCCACACTCACACACTATTATTATTATTATTATTACATCGAGTTTATATAACGCGAAAGGGTTTGCTCAGCGCTGTACAATAGAGGGGGGACAATACATGAAACAGTACAGCAACTACAAACAGCACATGAGGGGTTAGAGGGCCCTACTCTTTCGAGCTTACAATCTAGGAGGGAGGGGGTAGTGGTACAGTAGGAAGTGGCTGAGGGGAATGAGGGGTGGGAGGAAAGAGGGAGAATGGCCGTTAGGTGAGGGTGGGGTAGGCTTCCCTGAAGAGATGGGTTTTCAGGGAGCGCCTGAATGTGAGGAGGGAAGGCGACAGTCTGATGGATTGGGGCAGTGAGTTCCAGAGGATAGGGGAGGACCTGGAGAAGTCTTGCAGTCGTGCATGGGAGGAGGAGACCAGGGAGCAGGATAGAAGGAGGTCCTGTGAGGAGTGAAGGGTAGGGTAGGGCGGTACTTGAGGATCAGGTTGGTGAGGTAGTCAGGGGCAGTGTTGTGAACGGCTTTTCAGGTCAGAGTTAGAAGTTTAAATTTTATGCGTTGGGCAATCGGGAGCCAGTGGAGGGAGAGGCAGAGGGGTTGGCAGAGGTGGAGCGGGTGGTGAGGTGGATGAGTCTGGCAGCTGAGTTCAGGATGGTCTGGAGCGGGGAGAGCCTGCACTGGGGTAGGCCGGTGAGAAGAGAATTACAGTAGTCCAGGCGTGAGATGATGAAGGAGTGTACTAGAAGTTTGGTGGTGTCTGGGGTGAGGAAGGTACGTATCTTGGCAATATTGCGGAGATGGAGCCTGCATGTGTTTGTAAGTGATTTGACATGCAGTTGGAAGGAGAGGTTCGAGTCAAGAATGACGCCAAGGACTTTGGCTTGCGGGGCGGGAGTGATAGTGGAGTTGTTGGTGATGATGGATAGGATGGGGGGGTGGTGTGGGCAGGGGTTGGGGCGAGGGAAGATGTTGGAGGTTGCACCCCCTGGCTGTATTATATGTTGAGGTGAGGGAAGATATTGGAGATTGCACCCCTCTGACTGTATTATTTGTTGGGGCGTGGGAAGATGTTGGAGGTTGCACCCCCTGGCTGTATTATTTGTTGGGGCGTGGGAAGATGTTGGAGGTTGCACCCCCAGGCTGTATTATATGTTGAGGTGAGGGAAGATATTAGAGATTGCACCCCTCTGACTGTATTATTTGTTGGGGCGTGGGGAAGATGTTGGAGGTTGCACCCCCAGGCTGTATTATATGTTGAGGTGAGGGAAGATATTGGAGATTGCACCCCTCTGACTGTATTATTTGTTGGGGCGTGGGAAGATGTTGGAGGTTGCACCCCCTGACTGTATTATTTGTTGGGGCGAGGGAAGATGTTGGAGGAGGTACCCCTGGCTGTATTATTTGTTGGGGTGAGGGAAGATGTTGGAAGTTGCACCCCCAGGCTGTATTATTTGTTGGGATGAGGGAAGATGTTGGAGATTGCACCCCCAGGCTGTATTACATGTTGGGGTGAGGGAAGATGTTGGAGGAGGCACCCCTGGCTGTATTATTTGTTGGGGCGTGGGAAGATGTTGGAGGTTGCACCCCCAGGCTGTATTATATGTTGGGTGAGGTGGAAGATATTGGAGATTGCACCCCTCTGGCTGTATTATTTGTTGGGGCGTGGGAAGATGTTGGAGATTGCACCCCCAGGCTGTATTATTTGTTGGGGTGTGGGAAGATGTTGGAGGTTGCACCCCCAGGCTGTATTATTTGTTGGGGCGTGGGAAGATGTTGGAGGTTGCACCCCCTGGCTGTATTATTTGTTGGGGGAGGGAAGATGTTGGCGGTTGCACCCCCAGGCTGTATTATTTGTTGGGGCGAGGGAAGATGTTGGAGGTTGCACCCCTAGGCTGTATTATTTCTTGGGGCGAGGGAAGATGTTGGAGGTTGCACCCCCAGGCTGTATTATTTGTTGGGGTGGGGAAGATGTTGGAAGTTGCACCCCCAGGCTGTATTATTTGTTGGGGCAAGGGAAGATGTTGGAGGTTGCACCCCTAGGCTGTATTATTTCTTGGGGCGAGGGAAGATGTTGGAGGTTGCACCCCCAGGCTGTATTATTTGTTGGGGTGAGGGAAGATGATGGGAAGTTGCACCCCCAGGCTGTATTATTTGTTGGGGCGAGGGAAGATGTTGGAGGTGGTACCCCCTGGCTGTATTCGATATATCCCGAGGGAAGATGTTGGAGGTTGCACCCCCTGGCCGTATTATTTGTAGGGGAGAGTGAAGATGTTGGAGGTTGCACCCCCAGGCTGTATTATTTGTTGGGGCGAGGGAAGATGTTGGAGGTTGCACCCCTTGGCTGTATTATATGTTGGGGTGAGGGAAGATATTGGAGGTTGCACCCCCGGCTGTATTATATGTTGGGGTGAGGGAAGATATTGGAGGTTGCACCCCCTGGCTGTATTACATGTTGGGGGCGAGGGAAGATGTTGGAGCTGGTACCCCCTGGCTGTAATTTATATATCCCGAGGGAAGATATTAGAGGTTGCACCCACAGGCTGTATGATACATGTTGTGGATGGATAGATCGGGGGTTACACTGAGGGAAGATATTAGAGGTTGCACCCACAGACAGGGTGGATGATAAGATCGGGTCACACTTACGCCCTCTTGATGTCGCTGTCGGTGGCACAGCGGGGGATCTCCAGCACCGAGTAATAATCCTGCCCCATGTCTGTCCTGGTCGGGTTGCCAGGGACGCCCGCACTGCCTGCTGGGAGGAACGCTTTGCCGTTCCTATAGCAAACCCCGGCCACGGTTAAGAGGCG